TTGACTGGATCTTCTCCCGTTCATGAAACCAATGTCTGCACTGGGCCATTGTACGATGAAATCTCCGCATGCAGTGTAAGTGTTCCAGACGTTCAATAAATTTAGTAAATCACTGTAACAGAGTAACGTCGCCTATTAACGTGGCGATTTAATCAAAATCTTTAATACCACTTTTAGGGTGATTCCGGTGGTCCTCTAGTCTCGTACAATGGACAAAAGCCGGTGCTCACTGGAATAGTATCTTGGGGTATAATTCCATGCGGTACTCCAGGCGCGCCATCCGTGTACACCAGAGTGTCTAAATTCAATGATTGGATTGCTCAGAAAATTGGTAGTTATTAATAACAGCAATATTGACGACGTATCACTGTATACCGATGACGAATTATTATATATTACATATTATTCAACGTAAATAAATATGCAGCATAAATGAATAATGATATTTTTTATTCCGAAATTACATGAAATAAAAATTAATTTAAGTACTAATTTAAGTAGTAATTTGATTGGATAAGGAAACATTTATATGGCAAAAAGTATCGCTATTCGTATATTCTTATTTTATTTAACAGATAACAGTCATAAACAGTTATTAAATATATACTTGTTTCATTTAATCTTAAATATGTATTTGACACTTGCTAATATACAATACAAATTTTAATATATAATATTCTAAGTAGTTAAATGTTATAATATATATAGAATAAAAACCGTTCTAGAATCCAATAATTAACATTGATACAAAATAAATAATTGTTAAGAAACCAAAAATATTATGGAAATTAAACCAAAATTTAAACTTGTGCGAAGATACATTATATCTTCACGGAATATTCAAGATTTAATAAAACACAAATAGAATTAAATATATCTCCAATTTATATCTTTTAGCAGATAAATTTAAATGCAACAGATGTAAAATTATTGTACTACGTAAAGAGTTGTTTTTAAAGTTTAATTAAAATTTTTATATATAGGGATATATTTATAAAGTATCGCAAAGAAAAGCAATTCTGCATAATATACAAATCCTATACAAAATCTTACCAAATAGATAAATAGAGTTTTTTCTTTATATAGCATAGTCGACATGGTCAAATCACACATTGATAATATAAAGATAATGTACGCTTAGTAACGGCGAATGTTGAAAGTTAAGGATTTTTTCAGGTTTTCATACAGTATATAAAATACAGAAGTATAAATCAACTGGCTAAAAGACCTATGCAAAATTTTTCAATCAGTTTTACACGCACAGTCGGCAATCCAATTACGACTTCTTAACAACTTCTGTGATTGTTTGTATTGCGGCAAGCGCTTCCTTGGCCGTCGGAATAATGTAACGAGCTGGAAGTATGAAGCCGTATCTGCCAGTGTCTCGCAGTTCGATCGTGAATGCGTACTTGATCTTGAGCAAAGCCTTGGCCCAGTCGTCAGAACCGCCAGCGGCAGGATACAACGTTATAGCGCTATTCCCGACAGTGTACACTGTATTATCACCTGCTGCCTTCTTCATGGCTTCAGCTGCTTGTCGCCCTACTGAGTCAAGATCGCGGTAATCAGGTGGCAGACGCTGGTCATATCCCCAGGGGTAGAGTATGTACTGTCCGTACGAATGAAAAGACAAATACGCCTGCAAGAGGAAAGTAATGGAGTGCCATAGTGTGAAATATTTCAAAATTTAATAATAAAGATATGTAAAATTGGATTGTCCATGAATTTTGATTGATATATGTAAAACACTCTAATGTATATATATTTGTATATTTTTGTAAAGTATTTTGAATTAAAAATTTTATATAGTCTAGCTATTAGTAACTATTATGTTTAAAATGTTAATTTAAAAATAGTTTTCGGTAGCATTATTATAACTTGACGTATGTGCAACTCGATGTATTTTTCAAAAGCAACGCGAATGCAAGAAATCTCAACAAAGTAAATAAAAATTGGCTAATTACTACGCACAAAATTTATTAACTAACTTTGAAATCTGCTAAACTGTTCTCGAAGAAATTGCGAATGGCGTCAGTTTCTGGCTCGGAAAACGGTTTGTTGCCTGGGTACGTGTCGTGACACATATTTCTGCTAGTTCCCTTTCCACCCCAGCGATAGCCAAAGTTTCTGTTCAAATCTATGCCCGCGCAATTGACGCCTTTCCTTCTGTTCTTCCTCCATAAACGATCGGAAATAAACGTATGCTCGTATCCGTCTGGATTCACGACCGGCAGGATGTAATAGTCCGTTTCCAAGCTTTCGCTGTTTTCAACCAAAAAGTCAATGATATAAGTCACAGCTGCCGGTGAAATCCATTCCCTGGCATGAATACCGCCGTCGATCCATATCGCAGGTGCGTTCGTCTTACCGTTACTGATTCTTAGAACCTTAAACATTCGTAAGATTTTTAACACTCGAACTTCTCATCAGTATCAAAAATACAGATGTTAAAATTAGACGTGAACGATACCTTGAGAGGCCGACCCTCGATGGAATTACCGATGGTCTGAATGGAGCATACATCGGGATAAGTTTCCGCAAGATAATTCAAGTAGCCGTGAATGTCATCGAGGCGATGATAACTAGTCCACTCCATTCGATGACCTGACGGATATACCTTCAAGATTATTCAGAGATTGCACGTTCCGTGCTCTCGTGCGCCTGTATAACAACCGCTTCGCAGATTCAGCTCTCGACGCAATACAGAAGCAAGCATGGCATTTCGTTTTTTCAACTATCATTTTATAAAATATAATATTTAATATACTTTATATTATGTACATTTGATACATCTCACTGAATCGACGAAGCGGATTATGCACGTCTGATAAAGCTCACCCCTAAAACGCCAAGGACCACCTACACCATGTACACTAGCGGGATAACGAAGAGGACGAGGACGTGGATACCTACTTCTGACTCCCTGCCACCACCAAACGTAACGAGCTAAAAAATTACTGAAAACCTCACTTCGGTGACGGAAGCGATGCGGCCGTTACAATAATTCCCAAACGCTTATACTTTAATTATTCCAACACCCTAATTTGCGTTCCAACGACTTTCCGACTTTTCAGAACAATACTGACTGTTTGCAAAGCTCTAATAATTTCTCGCACGAATCGAAAACCAAGCCTCGTCGAGCCCGTCCTGAATAACGGCATCGAAATCAGATCGAACGACTATGCAAACGACCGTAAAAAAAAACCGTCGAAACGTCGCGGAACGCCTGTACGTGCGAAGACTACGCGTGTATTTTATACACGCCTCACAAGTAAAGTATAACTGTTAAACAGCATTGAATCGGAACCGGGTTACCAAATGGGATTCACTCGAGGCCGATAACCTCGATTCGTTTCCAACTGTTTCCCTTTGAATAGAATCAAATAATAATTTGACACAATTAACTAAGGCATTAATTCCTTTTTAGAAAATATATGTATTCCAGTCTATGATTTTTACGATAGTTCTCACACGCATACACATACACGTATTGTATCAACGGCACAATTTTCCAACGATGACATAGTGACATATAAATGATAATAAAATGTACTGATAATCTTTACTATATAAATATTAGACTGAACTAGAACTCTTCGAATTGTCTTAAACTCGTAAGTATAATAGACAAGAATTTTATCAAGTATGTTTACATCAGTGTTAGGACATATCTACTGAGTTTTCACATACACACACAACATTTGACCTACGTAAGTTTACTGTGCGCTATACATGATGTCTCAATTATTACAGATAAGATGAAACAATGAAATAATAGAATGATATTATCAGCACTAATTTTTAAAAGATTTATTTTAATTATTTAGTTCGCATTTTTTAATAAATAAGAAATCAAATAAATAAAGATTATTTAAATTAGTTTAGTCTAAAATTAATAACAACCCGTAACTTGTAACGAATCACTTTCGAATGTATTTCCGAATAAGGATTATCGACTCGTTTTCATTAGCTTCCTTTGCTATGACCGACTAAAGTAACTATCGAACAATAGCTTCTTCCGTGACTTTCATGAGTGTCAGTGTCAACAAGTCTAATTATAAGGTGGTTGGTTCTTTTATATTATTAATGAGAGTGTCAAAAAGTGAAGATAAATGATAAAGAGCGATGTCGAAGCATAAACAATAAGCAGCGATTAATCTCGTGTAAGCCCTCAATGAAAATTAATAAAAACATTCAGCGATGCTCAAATATACCAATAAATGTCACTTTACATTAATATTAATAATATTATTATTACTATTTAAATTTAAAAATCCCCCTTTAAAAATTTCTTATTTTTATTTTTTTCTAAAATTATATCGCTGAATGATTTTATAGTATATCAGTTAAGAAATTATTAAGTTTAATTGATATAATAAAAGCCTCAAACCTTTGCGTCCTTCAAGCTCTTCTTGCATTTCCATTGAAAGAGGAGTATTCTCTTCTTCAATCGCCTCTTGCACATCATCAATCAAAACTTGATAGTTAATCCCGCAATCTTTCAGAATCGATTCGACGTTATCAAGCATATAACTTCTTATGAAGATATCGGCAGTCGACGGTTCGTTCGACCATATCGAATATGCTATATTTAAAAAAAGGGCTTTGTTTAGCTGTTTTTCCTTCTAATCCTTAACAATACATATCTATTTCGAATTAGACGTAAAATTATGTGTTTTAATATAAATTTATTATTTATTACGTACAACCGTATTCGTCGTAATGCTGTACCAATTCGTTCACGGAATCGTTATGCTTGTAGATCCTCCACACTTGATCCCCTTCGTAAATGACTCGTTTCTGCAGATCATTTCTATATACCGGTTGATCGATCTCACTACCGTAAGCCACTGCTTCTTCTATTTCAGGATTTACGACAATAGTTGCATCAACGACGAAGACGACGATCGCCATCGTCGTCAACGTCACCCATTTCGTGTGCTTTGTTCGTAGCTGTCTGCCGTTGTACATTTTCGTTGGAACTGTTCTTAACAGCGGAATACACACAGCTTTTATAATACGCGGCACGATCGGTGATCGGGAGTAACGGAACCACTCGATCGAGGGTCCGGGGATTGCCGAATCCGTTACAATCGTAGCGAATTCAGTTCGAAATGGATACATACTGTTCAAGATTCTAGAAGGACAATAGCTAAACAGATAACATATGTAATGCTAAACAGAGACTTTTATTTATGTAGTATATTCGACACACGTCAAAACACACGTCAACCGTCGATGTAAAACTAAATAAAGCTAAATGTATATGTTTAGTAACGTCGAATTGATATTCAAAAGTTGAAACATCAAGAGGTGAAATATCAAATTCTGATTGATGATATGAAAAAAAGCAGTCGAAGCAGAAACTATTTCTCTTTCGATAGAAATTATGTTCTATAATCACTGACGTTTGAATTAGGGATCTTAGTCTATACTCTATATAATATAGAGATCAGTTTAATTTTTTTTCAAAATTAATAAATTATTTTGTTAAACAATTCTGTAAATTAAATTAATAAAAATGAGAATGTTTCTTTACTTTTTCTTAGAGCTACAAAACTACTTAATTAAGTAAAGAAAAAAATTATATAATATAAAATTTATTTTGTTTATTACATTATGGCTTTTATAATTTATATACCTACAGAGTTCTATATATAAAAAGATTTTCCGAAATTATTATACGAAGAAAATAGTAAATGTCAGAATCTTTTGTTCTATTTAATTTATATTTAATTTATTTTTAAGTTACATAATTATCTATAAACTTGAAATGTTATTGCAAGAATTCGTTACTGCAACTGGCCCATTAATGTACGGCTATACTTTATTCAATTTAGAGCGCCGACGCAGCTCTCGACGACGGCGCAAATCGCGGGCAGACACGCGGCTTCTGCACATCCTTCTTGCATCGTTCTTATACCGTTGCGTCGCAAACGTGTGATCGTCTTGATAACCGATTAAAAAATTGAAGCCGTAACATCCGTATTATCTCAGGGCGTTTGGGACAGAATCGTAAAAGTATGAAGTGCCTATTGACGATCGTCGTTCTCGTGACTATTGCCTCGATCATTAAGGTACCGTTTGCTGTGTGCTTAAGACGATTTTACTATATCTTCCCTAACCGTAATTGCTTTTTTGATACCGTTGATAACTAACGTAGAAATTAATTGTTTATTATAAAAGACCTTCTATCTTTTTTACCTATACAATATTTTGTGTCAAATTGCGACTAAACATTTTCATGACATTTCGATATTAACTCTTTACATTGCACGCATTCTTATAAAATTTAAAAAATCTGATTTATCGCAAAATACTATATATTGGGCTACACCGAATTTTTATTGCAGATATCTTTTCGGGTAATTTGATCAAAAAAGCATTATTTTGTGAATTTAATAATAAAAATTCTATATCCATCGTATTAGTATCGACATGATAAAACTTGGACGTTATTTTATGATAAGTTATCTAATTTGAAACTTAAGAAATCGCTTTATACATAAAAAGTAGAAATAAATAGATAAAATAGTAATAGGTCAGACGCGCGTTACCTTTATACGTCGTAAGGTTTCTTTTGGTCGCTTCGATATAGACGCATATGTTCATGTGGCTTTGCATGAGAATAACTCTTCTGCAAATGTATATGTCATTTTAAATGCAACTCACTGTAAATCGTGCGAATACAAATTAAATTAATAATCTCTATTCTGTATCACTTCTGCTAGCTTCAAACAATTACAATATTCAAAACACATTCAAATAGTATCAATAAGATTTGCAACACATTCGAGAACTTTTCATAAATACTAGAAACTCAGATAGCACACATGTCCAAAAGACATTGTAAAGACATATTCAAGGTAACTTTTAGACTTACGTGTCTCTAAAAGACATCTTAAAAACGTCTTTATGACGTCTTTTAGATATGCGTTCTATCTGGAAACATAAGCGTAGAGTGTCTAAATAAAATCAAAACTTTTTGCGTTGCAGTCGAACTCAATTCATATACTTATAGAATAAAATATAATATATAGTAATTTTTAAAAAATAAAACTTAATATCTGGCTCGTTGCGTAATGTTATGTAAAATTTTGCCAGTATATTTTAAAGTAGAAATAAGAAAAAAAAATTGTATAAACATAAGTCCGAAAACATTTCGTTAAAATGTTATAACAAAGATATTTTAAGCAGATTTGCTCTTAATACGTTACAATACAAGATTAGACAATGTTTATCCAATTAATTTATCCTACATAGTTGCATTTATATTATTTGAAATCATTGAAGGTGATCAGTTTCGATAACTAAACAGTCTTAATATTACTAATCTCGAAGTGTCAATATATGTATAGTACAATTTCATATTAACACACCACCAGTATATTCTCAAACAAAGATTATGGATTGACGAAACAATGCTCATAAAAAGAGATGTTTTCAATTTCAGAGTTTTAATGTATGAGTGGAAATATATGATATTTGTACTTATCTGTGTAGAGGACATTTTAAGATGCCTATTTATACTAGATTTTTCAGTATCTTTCCAACGATATTGTTTAATTTTAATATCTATATTGATATTGATTGACATCAAACATGGTTTTATTCTTATTTGTAACAAATATTTGTTATGCAATGCATAGAAGATAAGTAAATAAAAAATTTCTTTAAAAAAATTTCTATTTTAGGCAGAAACATTCAGAGTCACCGATCAAATATACTTTGATATCATGATTGATAATCATCCAGTCGGCAGGATTGTTATTGGCCTGTTCGGCGATATTGCGCCAAAAACGGTGAAAAACTTTATCACTTTTGCTACCACCGGTGTAGCCGGGAAAAAATATGCAGGGACGAAATTCCATCGCGTGATAAAAAAGTTCATGATTCAAGGTTACGCTTTTGCACTTTTGATTAGAAATGATTTATTTATTAAATATTGCACCAATTAAATTATCAATTAGATTTATTACGCGTAATTACGCGTGTGTTACAGGTGGTGACGTCGAAAATGGCGATGGTACCGGTTCTATTAGTATCTATGGCAAATATTTCGACGATGAAACTTTTGAGGTGAAACACAGCGGGCCACTGTTCGTCAGCATGGCAAACGCTGGAAAGAATACCAACGGTTGCCAATTTTTCATTACTACTATAGCAACACCTTGGCTAGACGATCACCATACAGCATTTGGAAAAGTAATAAAAATACATGAAATTATACGATACTTCATTTATTATCTATTTGTGTTTCACGCACATTTGAAAAAGAATCTGTTAGACAACATTTTTTTACTTATAATTTATTATCATATTATTATTATTATTTAAATGTCTTAATGCATTTTGATATACTCAAGACACCTTTCCGCTAATTTTAAATCTTTTTTTTTTTCGTAGGTAGTTAGCGGTGAAGCTGTGGTTTTCAAGATTGAACAGATCAAAACGGATAGCGATGATATTCCACTTGTGCCTGTAATAATTTACGATAGCGGAATTCTTCCAACGGAGCCATTTACTATATCAGATAATCCTTACGAGTAATTTAATATTATCGATGTGACCTTAATGTTACTAATTTGTTCCCTTCTTCGAGCCTATAGTGCTACGTTGCGCTCTCTTTTATTAATTACAAACTGTACGTTGACAATTATCTTTGCATAATTTGAGAGGCGTAGTTATCACAATAATGATTAATTACTTAATTGAGTAACATTAGATGATGTATATGAAGTTGCCTATAAATATTTTTACACGCTTCGATAGCTTTATAGGCTTTCCTGCGCACAGTTACAATTTGTGTTATTTTTCCAGACACCATTTATATTCTTGATTGTTTTATGCTATGATTGCGCAAATGAAAAGACTGCTGAATAAACATAAATGTAAAGTAAACGTAAAAATTGCAATACGCTGGCAAGGTAGATTAAAAATATATTCTTTGATGTAATTTTATCCATCTTCATCTATTTTACTTACTTACTTACGTCTTTATCTGGACAAATAATCTTTTAGTGACACGGCTGAGTTTATAAATTCATTAATGTTAAAATGTGCATATTTGCAGTGCATGGGCGTGGATTAAGGCGACTTGCGTACCATTGGGATTTAGCTTCTCGATACTAGCGGTTTTCCATTACATGATGAAACAGTTGGACGTCTGAGCGACAATCTTGATACGAAAGACTGATATTTCGAATAATGAATTTATGCTTTTATTTGATCTATAGATTTCATATTTATTATTGTATATAAAACTATGTATAATTGTACATTACTTATATGTATCAATCTTATAAAGGAACTTGTATCACGTATAGAGCTGATATAACGTAGCATATATGATTCGATTCGATAACACGAGCAGAAAGAAGCATCAAGCGCCATCTCTTTGAAGACCGTGATATTATCATTCAAAAACTGCTTCATTTACTTTGTAATAAATTAATAAAATGCAAAAAAAAACATATATATTTAACATTCCATCATTTATAAACTCATATCCGCCCGCCATTATGATAGTACAGTTCTAAAACATGTACCGCTGTAAAATTCACACGACGATTTCTTCATCGTCATCACACGATAATATATACATTAAATACGTAAAGAAGAAAGAAAAGCGAAGAAAAATGTTCTTTTAAATTAAATTACGATTAATTGTATTGAACGGCGAGGAAGAAAGAATATCGCATTATGAGATATATAGCGTCGATGACGCACAAAGTTATCGCGCATGCACACTACTTTGCCGAGTAGATGCGGATATCGGAGTCAGCCTTGGCTAGGCTTCCCCGAACGGCCAAATCAGTCGGTGGCAAACCGGCGTCGATCATCAGACGTCGGTGGTCGGCCGAAGTCGGCTGTAGTCGTATATGTAAAAGAGAGAATTCAGGGTCGGTCGACGATCCGTCGATTTTATAATAGAGATGACACGTGGACGTACGTGAGTGCTATCATTCATAAAGTCACGAGGAATTACGCGGTAATTGAGTGCGCCGTGAACGCGATGAGTTTGTCGTTGAGAGGATATCGCTAATGGTGATGGTGCATTGCTCTCGTGATTGCTGAAAAGCGTGCATGCCGGGAAGCGCATGTTGCTCCCTTCGAAGTTCGATCGGTCTGAGAACAGCTGGGAGAACGTTCTTGAAGGGGGATGCTCCGAAACGGTGTTTGAGCGTGCTCGTATAAGGTACGCTTCGTTTTCCACTACAATAATTTTACGTCGAGGCCTGCAACGCAGAAATAACTGCGGAACGTTTGGCAATTCTTGCTTCGGTATTTATTGATCTTTGATGTCATGAAAGCAGATCTTCGATGAAGGAAGATTGCTTGGAAGGCATCGCGAGAGCGTGTTTTGATTGAGCTGTCAAAGAGATTGTTTTTTTTTAATTAATAGATGTATAATATCTAGAAATATCAGGGAAAAAAGCATGACTTGAAAGATTGTATATATGCGTTGTCAATAATTTCAAATAAAATAGTTTGCATCAGACTTGGAGTTTCCTCTTCCAGTCACAAACCTGTTGACAAGATTTCTTCGATGCTTGCAAATCGAGTTTTAAATTATGAATGGAATTAAGTAAATGAACTTATAATCGTGGCTTTAATTTTGATCTGTATATAATGAATAGAATTCAATGAATGAGTTTGATAATAAGTTTGTAAGATTGGTAATATATATAAAAAAAAGTTATATAAAGAACGTTAATGGCAAAGTTAGTAGAATACTCATTGTAGGTGTAGGATTGCGTTATCGCGTAGTATCAGCATTGTCGGCAACCGGCAACAATTACAGTAAACGGAAGCGTGAGCCACTGCGAATGTATATGCCGTGACCAAGGACGGTAGTTTGCGATGCTGTGTTGACTCAGATCTCATATGTAAAATAAAAATAGCTGTGCGTGAACAAAATTTCTACGAAATTTTTTTTACAACTGAAATAGTAGTTAATATTTTTCAGTATAATACGGTCAGGTTTTTTATGTTTACACTTTATCTTTAAAAATAAGCGAAAAATTTCTCAATAAAATAGATAAAAGACAAATTTAGAAACTTTTAACTTTTAAATTTATGTAATACAAATAATTATAACTAAGTAAAAAGTAAGTAAAGTTTAAAAATTCATTCACTATTACGGTAGATTATTTATATAATGCAAAGTTTGTTATATTTATGTAATTATACATGTTATAATATATAATTATAACGGTGCATATAAATATTGATGAAAATAATTTAGAATAAGATATTACACTTTAGTTTTATTTAACATTATCGCACAAGTATACAAGACTTCTCATGCACACATATTATGTACTCATTGTCTGTGCTTGCCAGATAACAAGAAATACAAGAAGATTCAAAACTATGTTATCGCAATCTCACTAATCACTGTGAATATATTAAACCTTATGCTTTATTTTGATTGGATTATTTATTAATGAGTAATAAAGTAATTTTACCTTTTATTTTGTTGCTCTAAAGCTTTATATAATTCATTTCTTATTCTCATCTTATTTATATAGTTGCACAGTGATACTCGAACTATATTACGATAATTAATATCATTTAGGATTAGCGTGCAGCTACGCACGTCAGAGAAGTTGAACAGTCAATTAATTAATGAATATCTGCCCGCAATTTCCTGGAAAATCTATTTTAGTATCTCTAATATATTTCTTCAAACTGCTTCAAAAAAATGATGAAAAGAACCAATCTGCAAGAAAGTTTCGTAATTTTTATACTGCATTTTACAAGTTGAGTAATAGTTTTAGACATCGAGATAATTTATCGCAATCATCAAAAACGTAAAAAAATCTAGTGCAATGTTTTATAGCACAATTTATTCTTTAAATGTGATGCAATCTCTTGATTAATCCCTCGTTATGGTGCGCGATACGTATCTGTACACAGAACACGTCAACTCGGCACGCAACTTGCACATTTTGTATTATATTACTATACGTACCACGAATTTCAATCAAAACATGGTCTTCTGTATCAGGAGATAACAATTAAGAAATAATTGAAATAAATATCAAAAGATATTAATAACAAATTAAGATATGCGTGACAATGAATAGTTCACATTTTTTGTTCATATACTATTACATTCAAGCGAACATTTACTTAGCATTGATTAAAAATAACTCTGCTTATTAAATCACACTTTGAACAGGCAGAGATGATTATTGGTGATGCGTAATCAATGATGGTGACAATAGATGTCGACGATTTCTTCAACAGCACGATAATTCGTTATATGCTTATTTGACCGGTTAGAATTTGTTTTACATATAATAATTTATGCTATTGTATCCACGAAAATTAAGTTTAAATAACCTATTACTACACGAATAATATTACAACATTATGTTAAATAATATAATAAATTGTATTTAATAAAATTTTTATTACATATATTAATATATGTACAATAACATATATGGCATTGATTAAATACATGACTGTAAAATTCTTTAGACGTTTTAAGTAAATAAAAAAACAGCATGCCATTCAAAATTTTAATAAATCTATACATTTGCATAATTGATTAGCATACTTGGAGTATTTACGATTCAGGCAGAGTCAAGTCAGATGACTAATTAAAATACCACACACGTAATACATGCGAGAATTACGTGTAGATATTCAATGAGTATTTTATTTACATATACGTAAGATCTCAAAGTTCTTAAGAAGAAGTACTTTCAAAATTTGCGCATCAAGAAATGTATATAGAGAGGTTATCAAGCGACTTCAATATCCTGATAAGAAAACTGTTATATTTGTACATGAATCATGCACGGTATATATGCCGTTGTCAATCATTGTGTATTATTTATCAGGGAACGTTGCTCCACCCACAATTCGTCTTCTATACGCAATCCAATAAGTAAAGCCGTTAGACGCACCTTACATGTTATCTTTGGCAGTATTCGATAATATACTTTTTCTTTCATAAAAGAATCATAAGAAATCTTAAATTTATACTGTGTTAAATTAGTAATATTTTATGCTATCTTTATTAATTTATTTTCTCTATTTCATAAGTAGGCCATATTATAAAAGTTAGATAAATTATAGATCTATTGTAATTATAATATCTTCTCAAAAAATATACTTTGCAGATAGAACTTCCCTTATATATTAAAGAGGAATTAAACGCCCGATCTAAGCAAAACTTAAGAGAAAAGATCAACGACCAAATAACGAGCATAACAAGGTGTTAGTTTAAAATATCGAGTGCTCGCAACTCGTCGCGTCGCGTAAAAGAGTGCGGTCTCGCTTCGCGTGTACTTGGCGCGAGACACTACCGTGTCTCTTGATAAAATACAAATTTATTTAAAAGAATAATATAAAAATTTTTACTTATGTTATATTTTTTTAGCAATTAAAATGTAATGTAAAAATAGAAAAAAAGATACATAATTACAAAATAAATAGGAGAAAGGAATAATAAAATAACAATTGCAATGTTTTGATGATTAAAATAATATAATAAAATAATAGAGTAAAACAAGCGCAAACGAGAGTGTATTAAATAAAAGCCTGTGACAGAAGTCAAACACATTGTCAAAGAACATAAAAGTAAAAAGTTCTCGCAATAATTAAAAAAATTAACAATAAAATTTGTCACTGATTCAAACTGATATTACAACGTTATTCAACGTTTAAAAGCGCGAATAAATCCAAAAATATTCGGTATTGGTCTTTTCTTTAAAATTATCTTTATAGATAATTATATTAAATCATTACAGAGAATTATTCTCAAATTATTGTAGAAGATTATTATTAAATTGTTATTTAAGGAAATGATACTGCTACATCACAAGACTAAAAAATCGTTCAATTTTTAAAAGATATAAAAAATAAATTAGTTTATATTATTTAGGTTTATTTTAAAAATATATTTCTAAATTATACAAATAAAATCAAATTATATATTGCAATTAATAATAAAAACAATTAACGCTGCTTTTAATCACCATATTTATTCTATAGTGATTTACTTTTTCTATTTTCTTTTCTTTTTCACGTATTACACCATAAAGACTGTTGTCAGATTGCATGGTAGAATTATAAAACGAAGTTGATTGATATCGCCCATGGTGAAATAATATATCGTCACGCAACGTCATGTGTTTTTCCCTCTTTCTGCCGCATACACCATTCGCGTTCACATCTTCATGCGATAAAAGCGTAACCGGCGCACCTCTCAACGATGTCGTCCCTATGTAATTGGCCCGTAATTAAGGTGGGCGCGCCTCTTTTTGTTGAATCCTCTCACGACCAAAAACATACTCGCTCTCATTCCCAGAATTGTTTAATGGCAAGTCATTTCGGTAACTTTCAGCTGCCATTCAGTCCCGACTACTTAGTCGCGTCCTGTTACACTAGGCACTAGCCAAATAACTGATAAAACTGTCAAAGTTGCGTTTATTAACAATAGAATGACTGTAAACTGTAATTATTATCAATATAAGGTAAATGCCAGGACACTTAATTAAGACCTAATGTCTTAACATCTTTATCATTTTAGTTTTTAAATAAGTATAACGCGAATTAAAATCAAAGATAAAAATATAATACAAGAAAAATATTTACAAGAAATATATTTAGCTTTGATTCTTTGATTTTAATTCGCGTTATAACTTATTTAAAGGACTAAAATAATGAAAATGTCCAGGCATAGGTACGTGTCCAGGCGTTGGTACATTTACCTTAAACTATTATCATAATTATTAATTGCGTGCTGTTACATAAAGTTAAGAAAATTTCTCATGTTGTGTATAAATAACTTCAAGTAACTTCAAACGCAGTTCATACTATGGCTACGATGGCTTGAAGAACATGTCATGTGGAACACGGCGATGAAAACCGGTTTATGAAAAAAAATTTTCAGGTCTTAAAGGGTCAACGCAATCGTAAAGCGAAGGGCATAGCAGAAGCATTGTGGTTGGACTCCGATAGCGTTTTCTTGTTGATGCTGAAGAGTTTGCAATCATAGAGAAATTTGACAAATGCTCTCAGGTGTACAGCCGATCATCATGTCCCTATTTTCTTTGTTTCAGAGTGAAAGGCCATCCAGACAGCTCAAGGCATGACGAAATATTGGTTGAACGTAGCCCTTCTCAGGGTTGTTCTACCAGTCATCTTAGCCGGATGTAAGTCCCATTTGCATGACTCTTTCTCTATTCTGTTTCTTTTTTCGCTTATATCTTACAATCAATAAATGGTTCATGCGTATTTTGATGACTTTAAAATGATAGAAGCGACTAAAGATAAGATAAAATATTTTCTCACATGAGATTTACACGATCTTATGTAACTATTGCATTTTTTATGGATTTATATCGGCCAGATCAACCAGTTTAGAATTACTGATTTTTATAAATTTGCAAACGTGAAATATTCCCTACAAAAATTTTTGTAATTTTTTACTAAAAAAAAAACAATTAAAAAGGAATAAATGACATATGAAAAATAAAACAAGTTTAATTTTGTACTTTTTCTTCTTCTATAAATATTAATTTCTCTCTAATATTTTGCTTAGTATCTTTATTATTTCTAAAGATTTTAGAAATGTTATTTTAAAATTAAAATTTCTTTATTGCTACAATATTGTTATAATGTATTTATTAAAAATATATCTGTTGTAAAACATGCATATAATTAAAACTAAATGAGAGTATCTTTCTTAAAAAATTGATTGTAATACGAAAACATCTCTTTAAAATCTTTGGCATAATAAATTCATCGGTGATATCATAACTGTAATCGACACCATTTTCTTAATCGAATAATAACTTTAGCTTGTTGGTGGGCAGTTGTAAAGCAATAAAGACACGAAATGCTAATTTATCACCGTTTGTATCAGAATGACTAGAAATAAGCGAGAGTTGCGTATAGAGGAATCTTGGATTGACTGCCTACACTTTGCATAACCATATTCAGTATTATGCTAATTGATAGCAGAGGAAATAGCAACGTTTCACGATATGTAACTTCGTCTGATAATTACGTGTTTACTGCTTATATTTTGCATACCATTTTATTTTTCCGCTTATTATATTTTAATTATCTATAATATATTTTAAACATCAATTGTTAAACTTTTAAATAAAAAAAATAATACGTTAATCAATTTAATCAAATAAATTATTTTATTTATACATATATTAATCCCTCTATTATCGGCGAGAAATAATGCCGTCATTGTTTATCAATGCGTTATCTCATATATTCACTACAGATGAGATTATTCACAATATGTATCGCAATATACATCGCCATTATTATTTCTCTTTATATTCCGTATTGTTTAAACATTATGCAAAAAACGATTTGGTTAAGTATAAATTTTATTAATCATTTTCAACAGTTTTATCTTGCGAAACATTATACGACGTATTTTATTGATTAAATATTTAAAAAAATAAAAAGTAATGAACCCCAAAATAGATTATTCGAAAAATATATTCAAAAATCTAAGTTAAATAATTTATATAAATTAATTTAAATATACACATTTTTCTAAATATTTAAACTAATTCAATTAATGCCAATTTATATACTTGTATTTCTATAATCGTTGCAATAATTAAATAATCTAAATAAATATGCAATATAAAATGTGTGAAAAGACAAATGAATAGAACAGATATATTTTCGATAAAATCCACATGGACATGGATACGTTGTTTTAGGGAACGTGTTTAAGCGGCTCGAAGAGTATTCTAAAATTAGGAAACAGGCGCTTGACTGGTATATCCGTATCAGACGAGGGCAAGACTTGCTAACTTTGTCTAAACAAACATTCGACTTCAACATATCAAACATATCACACGTAAACGTAAAAAATGAGTTCTAAGAGTTCTATTATCAAAAGGATATTTATACTTCAATTAAGCTTGTTAAAATAAATTTTTTATTAGATGTGTACACAAAACATCATAATTTATTACAATATTTTGTAAATTTCTGCTCATTCTTTGAATAAAAATGTGATAAATAAATAATTATGACAAAATCTAAAATAACGATAAATTATATATGCTGAGATATTATATAAAAATAATATAATATTATAATTTTATATATTTTTATTTTTCAATAAATTTAGCTAATTTTTTTTTACATTAATAATCATCTAACAATATTATCGAAATAATAAAAATTTATACACTTATTTGTTTATTTAAATACATTGTACAAATATATTCAATATTTTACTAATTAAATGTAACGACATATAATGTAAAAAAGTTACGCACAATATAGGAAGTATAATTTATTATTCTGCATAATTATAAATGTTATATTCTATAAAAACGTTTAAAGAATATTAAAATTTCGTGTGTGCGATCTCTCTATTTTCGAAGCCAGTTTCGTGATATAGAATCTTCCATAGGCTTGAAACTTTGACCTTCTTAAAAAAAAAAAGAAGATTTATGATAGCAGAGATACAATGTAACGTTTTTGCTACAATCATTATTGCGCATGTGAATCGTTAAAACTTTACGCAAGTAATTAATGCTTTACATTTCGACCATTTACTTCGCGAATAAAAATTCGTTAATATCGTTGCAACAACGTAGAAGAATCGATAACTAGCTCATACAATTCCTTAATAGTTCCTTAATAGTTGTATAATTGGTTATTAATTTAACAGATATATAATGGTGTATTAATATTTAAAGCAAGAGAGAGAGAGAGAGAGAGAGAGAGAGAGAGAGAGAGAGAAAGAGAGAGAGAGAGAGAGAATTGCAGTAATTTGCCAGAAATATTAAAGACGTAAAAGAATAATAAATTAAAGCAAGAGTTATAAATTAAATATTATTACAGAAAAAATGAATATTAGTGTACATTACATTAATATGTGCACGAAAATATTATTTTAATTTATAAAATGTCTACAGTTGTTGAAATAATTAGCGAAATCGTGCACGTTTGTGATGAGCTTCACTTGGCAGCAACACAATGTCGTTATTTATGTGTGTCGTGCAAATATAACACGTGCCACGAATAGGATGACTAAGCTGCTAGCTAGAGGTGGCGCCTGAAAATAATACAGAATACAGTATTCCTACGAATGTTTGAAAAGTTCAAATAACGTAAATTTTAACATGTTACAATGTATTTTTAGATCAGCGATCAGCGAGCAAACAGTTAGTTTGTGAAACATTTGTAACGTTCCATGACGCGAAAGTAATTATCGTCGACAGACTAAGTTCCTACGATTCGCATTAATTACCAGCACATATGTGTATGTTCTGGCAATATACCGGGTGTTTATTTAATAACATAATATATCAAGTTACATATACATATTTACGGAAATTTTGGAGAAGCGAAATATTAGAATACTTGATCTTTTAAATTAAAAGATCTTTAGAATATATTTTAGAATATAGATATATGGATCAATAATATAAAAAGCAAAGGTCTTGACGAAATACTTGGAGGGGTTGAAATGTCATTTCCTAGGAAAATCCCATCATAATAAGTGACCTTTTCACAAACGTAGAAATACGCAGCTTTATGTGGTTTATGTGAGCTGTTATAATGTCTTATCGAGGGAAGGTCTTCTCTAAGAAGCCTTTAAAATGAAAGTGGAGTAACCTACTTTATAAGTGGAGTAACTTACTTAATAAAATAATTAAAATAGCATAATAACAAACACTCCATAAATCTCTCTAATAATCTCTAAATACTCTAATTTAAATAAAAATATATTACACCAATTTTCTTATAACAAAACATATTAGTATTCCAAACATATTAGTATTTATCGGATTTCTATACTTCTCATATTTAATATCTAAATCTTTTTCTAAAAAAGTTGCTATCAAAATTTCTAAAATTCTAAAATTTCTCGTGGTAGAGCAAAAACTCGACTAACTAATAGTTGCTTTCCATTTACACTCAAGTGATACTGATTGTGAGTCACTCAGTTATGTATTTTGCACAATCAGATAAGATACGTCATTTTGTACTTATATACCTGCTTATTTTGGTGACAAAGCTATCGCATAACAATACAGGTTCATAATCTCACTCTTTTAAAATGTGAGTCTATTTATTATATATTCAATAAAAGTTATTCGCCAGTGATGAAATAATTCGGTATAGTTAAACGGCCTGACTGGCAAGTTTTATTAAGCATAACACAACACAACAAATCTATTTATTATATATATTTACACTCATTAAAGCACGGTCTCTCGATTGTGGGTAAAAACTCAATTGAATCTCACTTGCCAGCATGCAAAAAGAACGTGCATTCAGCTGAGTTATGACGTCACAAGTGAGAACCCACACAGCACACTTTATCTGAAGGACGTCCTACAGATAAAGTGGGATATCTCAATAACCGGTGGATATCCAGTGGATATTTAATATCCGGTGGATATCCAGCGGATGCACAAATGTCCCTCAAAATATCCTGTGCTGTGTGGGAATTATCTAAGTTTTGATGTAAATGGAAAGCAACTTATATTGAAATACTATAAGAACAATTAAACTACATCATAAGGATGGGTTTCAATGTTATAGGTACGATATGGCGACCAACGGGATTGTCGATCGTCTATTTGGCACTTATGCTTTATTCTCCGATGGTTCCAATACCGACGCACAAAACCATGACAGGCCACACGGGGATATACCTGAAGATTTGCATTTGTCTAGCTCTTCTTGTAGCCATATCACAGATCACCTTTCACATTGTTCTTTTGTCACTACCGCCGTACGGATACTTTCTACAAAACTGTAAGCAACACTCTATTCTAAATATTATGTTACACTTAAAACAAAGCTTGGAATTATTGTCCTAATGAATGCCATATATAATTGCACTTGCATACATAATATTTTTGGATGTCATATGATAACACATTCGATCAAGATTATATAGAATGTAAAATAAAAAATTTTAAAATACTCAAAAGCCATATAGAATTCTTAATCAAAACTAATTTTAATCCTAAATACAACTCAACAATATATTTTTAGGCGAGTTTATGGAGAAGCTCTTCAGGCACATAGGCCTTGTCAGATTAGATAGCGCATCTGTATGGGAAGTATTTTACTGGCTGGCGCCAGAATTCATAGTCTTACCCACCGTACTTGCCATATATTTTATATCTCGTTTCCTTACACAAAGACGTATCAGCGACGAAGAGGAGGAAGCTGCTCTTCATCAGGAAAATAATCCTCAACAACAGAAAACTGATGACAATACTACAAAGGTAATTATAGTCTCGTACTGCGCAAAACGATGTTTAAAACAAAACGGAAAACTAGATGCAATAATTAATATAAATATGCAAAAAATACCATTTCTATTGTCCAAGTCATTCAATCTAGATCGACTCTAGCTTAAACTACATATTTGAGCTACATTTTTGCACAAAAAAAATCAATATCTGACCAAAGATAACTTAAGATAACTCACGCCTACGCACATCCACGATTCAGATAATCAATTTCCTGGGAAGTATCGGTACCTACGTTGTCCTGGCGTCATTATGCTGTGTCGCGGCCTTGAAGCCATCGATAGAGGCGGCTTTCTACTTCCTGGTGTTCCTCGGCGCCGCTACGTGCTGGGCATGCAACAGAGAACTGCGCAAAGGATTTGCCGTGATCTGCAGGATCATCATGGTCATCGTGATCGTTCACATCGTTATGTTGCTCGCCTACCAGAACGAATGGCCGCAGGAGATCATTCCGGTATCTGGTACTTGGTCGCGCTACCTGGCCCTGACTGCAGTTTATCATACCAATTGCACCGACCCGAGAGATGTGGAGTATACAGATGATGCCGATTGGTTGATTTACGGATATGCTTTGAGATTGTTCTGGCTCTACTACATCCTCGCATTGCAGGCGCAATTTCTCAGTAGTAAACCGGTAAGTTTACATATATATTTCTATTCAATGTAAAAATTCTAAAAATTTAGAAATTATAAATCGATATAATTAATTATTAAGGAAATTAGAATAGTATAATATACATATGTATAAGGGTATTGCTAGCTAATATTAGAGATTAGTTTTTGTACCATATATTTCATTGTCTAGAATTTTAGTACCAAGTTCCTTACGTTAGTTATTTTAATTGTTATATTATTAACGCAATTGCATTATTTTTATATTAAAAGAAAAATAATTGGATATAAGTAATTTCTGTAGAACAGGACATTTTTTCGTATATTATCTAAATTGAACATTTGGAGTTGTGATTAATAAGATTAAGGTATATTATAGAATAGTGATGGGGTTCGATATCTCTTTATGTAGTCTACACAATATACTAAATTATTAGAAATAGTATATCAAACAACACTTTTCCTTATTGAAGCTGCTTTTAAAACTTGGAGACTTCATTATCCTAAGCTATATATGCTATCAGCCTGTCGCATAGAGCGCAATTAACCCACTTGTGGATAAGGGGTAATTAACATTAACACTGCAAATAACAGCTGATCGCCTAACAAGGTCTTTGAACTAATTTAAATGTATCTGAAGTCGTTAATACTAATGCTTATTAAATGAACCATAAAAATAAAATCGTCAACTATTGAACCAGTCATACTTTTTGTAAAATTACAAAGATATCTTCATAATAGTATATTAATTTACCGATAACAATTTATTATGTTTTATATATGTATATATATATATATAAAACATAATAAATATATATTTCGTATTCTAAAAAATTACTTTTTAATAAATAAAAAAACAAAAGCGTTGTTCAGTTTTCACAATTTAAGAAAACTCTCCGGTATCTGGAAAATTTCGCGAATATTTTAATTTTAAACTTTAGGTATATAAATTTTGGCGATTCTGTCGCTTTTTATTCGTGGAAAGTTCTGTTGAAAATATCTTGCTTGTACTAACGAGGCGTTACAGGCTAAGGAAGAAAAACGATTAAGCGGCAGACTGGAGAACCTGGACACTCCATTGTCTAGGCACGTGTCCATCAGACGCAGGACACCTTCGCAAAGATGGCAATCAGCGCGACGTAAGGCTCGTGTAAGGACTCGTTCCATATGAGAGCCGATTATTGTTGATATTTCTACATATTTGTATAATTTCGCAACTTTTTACCTTTGTTCTCAGCTGTATTTTATTTCAGATTCATGTCTTACTGATATGTACCGCATTGGATGCCAAAAATTTATATGAAATTTTTTATTTCTAGCTTATTTTGTAATTGTTATGCACATTTAATTGTTATGCATTTTAGTAAAAACTTTACTAATTTCTCAAAACTTTCCAAATTGTTAAATTTTTAAGTATACTGTTTATGCATTTTTGGAATTTACTGTATCTTAACTGCATTTATTTTGTACAATATAATTAAATTTTCGTTATATTAACATTTTCAGTAAAAATTATCATTAAAGTCTTTCAATTTCTTAATTTCCTAATAACAACTGTTTAATCTTTTATTCTTTTAATATTTTTATATATTTTTATAATTATTTATTGTAATATTTTTCATAATTTTCTCTCCTCAATTCCTATTAATTAGATCTAATTTTATTTATTATTTTCCTTAATTTATATAAAATATATATTATAACAATGTTATAATTAATATTGATTGTGTAGAAGTTATTAACATTAGTTGTGCAGCTTTATTTATCAGCAATCTGTATCTAACAAGTTCTCTCCGAGAATTAATCTTTTGTAAAAAACTGTTTCGCCTGTTTTTTTAAATACTGTCCATGTTCTTATTTGCTGTCGCCTTCCAGATGTGCAGTTGTTGTTTAACGTTGAACAAAACCGTTTTCCGTTTGGATGCTGCTATGTTTAGTTTGCCATTGTTTTAGAAGCCGGTCGTAGATTCATCGTTAGCAACGATCGACGAACGAACACCTGTACGTATACCAATGAATATGCATGATTAATCAAATATTCACTAACAATATACGCCACACTTCTGCATGTGATACAAATAAATTTCGCTAAATGGCTCGAAATTCTATTCGAGCAAATAATCTGGCGTGCAGTTGCAATATTAACTTCGCACATAATTTTCACACACGCAATCATCATTGTTGACGAAATTTTAGCTGACATTAATAAACTGGTGAAGGTAAATGCATGTGTTTCATACATTTTGCATGAAGTTTGCTATAGTCATAGGAAAGTAGAAAAATATTAATTTAGCATAATGTGAGAAACGTAGTGATAAAAAGTTTATAGAATAAAATAGTTTTATAAAACTACTATTAAAAAAAAAGTATTTAAAAAGTAAAATATTTCATTTATTGTTTAGCTAATGCGATTTGGATCTGGAAGAGCGGGGCTTCTTCAGGATTCCACTACCGGAAGTATCATCGTCAATCAAGATGGTCAGCAGGACGATAACATACAGATGCAGAGTCTCAGTGAAGGTAATGGCGAAAAAAAAAAACATACGATAAACTGTCTTATGCAAAGCGGTTAATTAATGATTTTTATGAATTAGGAACGCCTGATGAAACGCCGGGCGTCGTTGAGCAAATAATTATGGCAGTGTATTCGATCTTCCAATTAATAGTAAATTCATCATATCTTGCTACGAACATAATAATGATGGTAAGTATCATAGAATACAAATTACAAACAAACAAACAAATCAATTATTTTTTCAAATTATTTTTTAGACGTGGAGCATAATGTATCACAGCTGGACAACATTCGTCCTGCTTTTGTGGGCACTTATTCTATGGATGGTTCCCAATAAACGTGCTTCCATGATGAAGTGCTCTCCCTTCATCGTGTTCTATGCGACCCTCTTACTTCTCGGACAATATATATACAGTATGGATCTGACCGATGAAGAATTGCCGAGAGTAGTAAGCGGCGTAAAGATCTCTGAAATTGGTTTCAGCAAAGCCGACGAACTCGGCCGCTGGCATCTTATAGTTAAGGTACATATTAATATCTCCTGCGAATAAGAAAATCTAAATTCGTTCAGAAGTAAATTAACACATTCAGAAACTGTTAGGTATTATATATACCTTAAAATATTATTTAACAATTAATTTATTCATTTACAGTGCTTATTCATATCAATGTTTTGGATCACTATGAGGCAGTACATGGCAGAACGAAAGCAACAGCGACGATCTTCTGCTCTGAGAGACATGGTAGCGCCGTTACACGTATCTGTCTCGACGGCCACAACCGCCATGAGTCACGAGGCACCGGAAATCAAGAGCAAATTTATGAAAGATGTCGGAAAACTATTGCAAGACCTATTGACGAGATTCTGGATTGCCGTCGTAGCAATCATGCTGTTCATCTGCGGCATTACGGGCGAACGCATGACTATGTTCAGAATCGTTTACATGTCGCTATTCCTCATCTTCGTCATTACATTCCAGGTGTTATATTGATTTATGCATGTTTTTACGAGATTTGTTAATAGGACTTAGGGCCGATTTCACAGTCTCCGATTAACTTGATCCTCCGATTAAACTCACTCTTCGTCTCTTTCTAAGGGGGGCAGTTAGAAAGAGATGCAGAGTGAGTTTAATCGGAGGATCAAATTGGAGACTGTGAAATCGGCTCTTATTATTATAGAAGCTTATTAATGCATCATAAATATTGAATTGTAAAATTTCAGATATCGTGGATAGCATGGAGAAGAATGATGTACATATTTTGGGTAACTGTCATTGGATATTCGATGGTCATGCTGATCCTCGTTTACACCTACCAATTTCAGAACTTCCCAAAATATTGGGAGTATCTCGGTATAGATCAAGATTTGTGAGTAATGACTATTTAATTATTATATCTCATTTGTTAGACATTTAGATTTTCCAGTAAACTCGTCTATGTTCTTTTTTTCTCATTTCAGGCAAATGGACATTGGGTTGGAAACTTACGAGATCAAAGTCCTGTTTGTGAGATTGTTGACGCCAACATTTTTCGTTATCATCACAGTACTTCAGATTCATTATTTCCACAAGGATTTCCTCGAAGTCACCAATATTGATAGATTAGGGTTCGTGAAAAGGATAATTTAT